CATTCCGTATTCTCTCTCTATTCTCTCTCTATTCTATTTCTATTCTACTCTACTCTACTCTACCCTACCCTCTACCTCTACCTCTACCTAATTCCAAGTGTGGTCTTCCCAAGGCTTCCCAAAGCTCGACCCCCCCCCTTCCCTCCCCCCTCCCGCTTCCCAAAGGGCTCCTTGCCGAAAGCGCCGCCCGGCCAGCCCAGCGCTTTTCACTCAGCTGCCGGCGCGGCTTTTCCCCTCCATTCATTAAAAGGAAAAAAAAAAAACCGAGCCGGCAAGTGGAGGGAAAAAAAACGCTGACTCACGCGACTGGGCGATTTGCCTAACCCCGCCCCACGGCGGCCGAAGCCCCGCCCCTCCCCTCTGCGGCTTGCCCACCTCTAAATACTCGGATATTTAAGCGGCGGCGGCGGCGGCCGCGGGGAGAAGCCGCGCGGAGCGTCCCTGGAAAGGCGAGCGGCTGCCGGTTCGTCTGAAGCGGAGCGTCCGCGGGGCTTTCTCGAAGTCCGGATCGGGTTCCCTTCCCAAGGTAAGGCGGCGCTAGGGAGCCGTCCCCGCCGTTGGAAGCGAGGGCTTCGGTCGGGGGGGACCCCGGAGACTCCTCGCTGCGCTTGGCACCGTCTGAATGACTCGCGAAAAGGCATCTGCCGGTTTGCCTGCCCGACCTTCTCCAAGCGGGCGCCCTCCCTTTGCAATTGCGCACGCCGAATTGGGGCAAAAAAGCAGATGTGGGATTAAAAGCTAGGGTTTTTATTGCAAGCTGGTTTGGAAAGGGTGCAAAATGCCTCGAGCAGATATTATTTATTGATTAGTTAGATTTATATGCCACCCTTCTCCGGAGACTCAGGGCGGCTTACAATGCTAAGCAATAGCCTTCATACTTTTGTATATACCTGCTTAGTAGGGCTTTCTCCCCCACCCCCCCAAGCGGTGTTCTTTTTATACAATGTTAGCTTATTGCCCCCACAATCCGGGTCCTCATTTTACCTACCTCGGAAGGATGGAAGGCTGAGTCAACCTTGAGCCTGGTGAGATTTGAACTTGCAGTAATTGCAGGCAGCTGGCAATTTAAGTGCTACTTTAACAGCATTTAGTCCACTGCGCCACCAGGCTCTGTCTAAGCTTGGCCCTATGAAGACTTTTGTGGACTTCAACTCCCAGAATTCCCCAGCCAGACAGCCAGCCATGGGGAATTCTGGGAGTTGAAGTGCACAAGCTTTAAAAGTTGCCAAGGTTGGACATTTCTGCTTTAGAGATCATAGCCTAAAGTTTGGGGCATGGGAAAGACTTATCCTCATTGGTTGGTTGGTTGGTTGGTTGGTTGGTTTTTTGTAATTTTCCCGCCTATGTTTTTTTTTTAAGTCTTTATTCAGCCTTTTTTTTTAGATTTTAAAATCACATTTCCACTTTTACAGCTTTCAGTTATCGGTATCGATTCGAATGACAGATTTTCCATTTACGGCCTATTATTTTATACATTATGTAATTTTTTTCTTGGGTATTTATACATCTAAATAGATAATACCTTTTTTGCTATATTATACAATTGTTCACCTCTAGGAAAAGTTTTGTAACTTTATAACTTATAAAACAAAACAAGACTTATCTTAATTTGTGCATGCTTGTGTACCTGCCAGTGAAAATGCTTTGAAATGAAAATAGTTTGAAATGAAAATATACTTTGAAATGAAAATACTTTGAAATACTTTGAAATTGCAATGTATACCACTGCAATAAGTTAATGGAATGATGTTTGAATGGGTTTGCTTTTCCTTGGCTCTCCTAGCATGCTCAGGGGGACCAAGGCATTGTGGGTGTTGTAGTTCCAGAAGGCACCAGTGGCTGGTCCCTAAGATCAACTTGGCAATTGTGCTTTGAAACTGCTCCAGCGAGAGAGAGAGACATGTGTGGGATGTCGGAGTCGGCCAAGTGAGATGGCCCAGCCAAGAATATTATGTAATGCTGCGCCTGCAGCAAGAGAGGAGTGCTTAGAGGGAACGGGCTAATCAGTAAAAAAGAGAGAGAGAGAGAGAGAAAGAGAGAAGAGAGAGAGAGAGAGAGAAAGGAGTGGAAAGATACTAAGCAAGGGAGCCAGCCGAGAGGTCAAAAATGACTTTTCAGGAAAAAAAAAAAAACTTTGACAGATTCTTCAGAGCAATGTTTACACCAGGGGGTCCCCAAACTTGCAGCTTTAAGATTTGTGGACTTCAACTCTCAGAATTCTCCAGCCAGCAGTTGAAGTCCACAAGTCTTAAAGCTGTCAAGTTTGAAGACTTCTGGTTTTCAAGACATCCTGGGCTTGTTTCTGAATAATGAATGTCGGCTTTTAGCAAGCTTTTCGTCACCCCGACAATTGTGAATTGCACGGGCCAAGATTTAGGAAGAAAAATTGGGGGGGGGGCATTTTTTCATTGGGGTCATCGTCAATAGATACCAGCCCTTCTTTTGGGGGGGGGGCTGGAATTAAAAGTGGTTAAGGTACTAGGCTAGAAACCAGGAGATGGTGAGTTCTAGTTCTGCTTAAGGCATGAAAGCAGGCTGGTAGCTTTGGGCCAATGACCAGGAGACAGTGAGTTCTAGTCTCCTCTTAAGCATGAAAGCCATCTGAATGGCTTTGGGCCAATGACCAGGAGACAGTGAGTTCTAGTCTCCTCTTAAGCATGAAAGCCATCGGGATGGCTTTGGGCCAATGACCAGGAGACAGTGAGTTCTAGTTCTGCTTTAGGCATGAAAGCTGGCTGGGAGACCTTGAGCCAGTCACTCTCTTTCAGCCTAACCCACCTCCCAGAGTGGTCGTTTGGAAAATAGGAGAAAAGAAAGTATGTTGGCTATGTTTGCCACCTTGAGTTATTTGTAAAAATAATAAAGGCCGGATATAAAAAAAAAAATAAACAAATTTGTAATGCATAGGATGGGCCGATCAATAGATCAACGTCTGGACTCTGCTTCCCTGCCTTTTGGAAAAACTGAGCATTCTTGCTTATTAGTCGAGCATTTCCATTCGTTAGCCATCTTCCGCAAACCAGCATTTTTTTTCTGAACCCAACCAGCAGCTGACCCAGGTTGTAGGCGCCAGAGTGACAGCGGTGGAGGCTTAAACCCGACTCCCACAGTCTTTCTTAAGAATTTAAAACATACACCAAGGCCGTGCTCTACATTTGATATCGAATGTTTTGCCTTGCTTTGTTTCCAAGGAACTGAATCCTCCTGTGCTGCAAACTCTGATACCAGAAAAGAAACAATCGAGCGTAGTTTGGCATTTAATGAAAAATAAGATCTTTTCCGAGCCAGTCTGAAAAAAAGAGTAATCAGCTTTCAACAGACTGAGACAGATGGATGGCAGGTTTTTCTTCTCTGTTTCAGTATCTGTTACTCTTCCCCATCAGTTCTGGGAAGTTAGCACCAGCTTTCTTAGATAACTGCTGTCGCGCCAACACCTTCACAGCCCCCCCCCCCCCCCCCACCCCCCCCCCCCCCCCCCCCCCTCCCCGATAAAAATGCTCCCCTATTTGGCCTCTTTCCAGGCCAGAGAAGTGTTAGGAATCCACTAGGTGAAGGAACTTCATTCTGTCTGTCAGCAGTGTCACTCTTCAAAACCAGAAAAGAGATCAGGTTTATAGTATGCTTCAGATCTGTCTGCTAGGAGCAGGAGAGAGGGAGAGAAAGAGAGAGACAGAGACAGAGACAGAGAAGGAAAAAGACAAATAAAGAAAAAGGAAGGAAGGAAAGAAAAAAAGAGAAAAAAGGAAGGAAGGAAGGAAGGAAGGAAGGAAGGAAGGAAAGGGGAAGGGAGGAAAGAAAGGGGGAGGAAGGAAAGAAAGAAAGAGGAAGGAAAGAAAGAAAAAGGAAGGAAAGGAAGGAAGGAAAGAAAGAAAGAAAGAAAGAAAGAAAGAAAGAAAGAAAGAAAGAAAGAAAGAAAGAAAGAAAGCGAATTCTCCCAGGAAGTCCTTGACTTACAACCCCAATTGAGCCTAAAAATTATGTTGCTAAGCAAGCGAGTTGTTAAGTGAGTCCCATTTTGTGACTTTCTTGCCGCAGTTGTTTCGTGAATCACTGCAGTTGTGTAAGTTACAACACAGTGGAGTGTTGTAATGGAGCTTTCCCCATTCACGTTGCTTGTCAGAAGGTTGCAAAAGAGGATTTGAGACACTCCAGCGGTCCTAAATATGAGTCAGTTGCCAAGCACCTGAATTTTGATCACATGACTACAGGATACTGTGATGATTGTAAGTGCGAAAAACCATCATAAGTAACTTTTTTCAGTGCTGTTGTAATTTCAAACGGTCACTAAACTGTTGTAAGTCGAGGACTAGCTGTAGAAGAGACTGTTGGGCAGTGACTTCAGATGTTGCTGATTGCTCCATACTAAACCCTCCCTTCCTGGTCACATGACTCAGGATTTTTGGCTGGGAAGGAATTCTGGAAATTTGTAGGATTTCCTGGCTTGTTTCCGAGGATTAATGTGAGTTGGTTGGATTGAGCCTCATTAATCCTATAATTCAGTGTTTCTCAACCTTGACAGCTTGAAGATGCTGGTTGGGGAATTCTGGGAGTTGAAGTCCACCCATCTTCAAGCTGTCAAGGTTGAGAAGCACAGCTATAATTAAGCCTGTAATTATCCTTCCTTAATGCTGCTCTAAGTGACCACACCTGGCATTGGCCCCTACAGGTATCATGACTTGCCAGGTCTTCTGATGAAAGTTTCTGTCTTCCCATCCTCTTTTCAGTTGTTCAAATCTTCAGTTTTTTCCATGTGCTCCTCCTCCTCCTCCTCCTCCTCCTCCTCCTCCTCCTCCTCCTCATTATTATTATTATTATTATTATTCTCCTCCTTCTCCTCCTTCTCCTCCTTCTCCTCCTCCTCCTCCTCCTCCTCCTCCTCCTTCTCCTTCTCCTATATCCCTCATCGGATGTTGGCAATCATGTTGGCAATCCTATTTTTATCAAGAGCCGCATGAAAAAGGGCTGTTGAGTTTTGTCCAAACGGTCCCTTAGATTTTGAAGCCCCGATCTTCTTCTTCTTCTTCTTCTTCTTTAATTTGGTTTATATGCCGCCCTTCTCCGGAGACTCAGGGTGGCTTACAATGTGCTCAGCAATAGCCTTCATCCTTTTTGTATATTTATACAAAGTCAGCTTATTGCCCCCACAAACTGGGTCCTCAATTTACCTACCTTAGAAAGGATGGAAGGCTGAGTCAACCTTGAGCCTTGGCAAGATTCGAACCCTGCAGTAATTGCAGGCAACTGGTCTTAATAACCAGCTTAATAACAGGGTGCCTTAGACCACTGTACTACCAAGGCTCTTCCTGGACCTCGTTTGCCTTCAATCTTTCCTTGGAGGATTAAGTGAAGGATACCGTATTTTTCCGTGTGTCACATCACATATCCGATATATTCTAACTTTCGCTTTTTTATGGTTTTGATGATTTCCCTTGGCTTTCCCAGGCAGCTTATGCCCTCCTCATTTCTGATTTTGTCAACCCAACGTATACGTAACATCCGCCTGTAAATCCACATTTCAAATGCTTCTGGTTTCTTCAAGTGGCTTTCTGTCAAGAGACCAACTCTCCACTCCGTAGAGCAGGATAGAAAAGATGTAACATCTGATGAGCCTGATTTTTTTTCTAGAGCCAAGTGTACAATTACTTCCCAGCCTGGGGAGAACGATGAAGTTGAGTCTTTGGGTCATGAAGATGCTACAGAGGAAACATTAGGGACGGTGGTTTTTTCTTTTTTTTCTTTTTCCGTCCCCATGACCACGGGTGAACATCTGGAGGGGATTCCAAACAGAGGCTTTGAAGAGCTAAGCACTTGACAATCTGATAGACAAATCTGTCAGCTCTGTTTCCCATGTTTCTGTGAGTTAAGCTGTGTCTCAAGTTAGGTCCTCGTACAGTCGATTTGGGGAAGTTCTTTTTTTAAAGAAAGGAAGTGTGTGAAATTGCCACCCACTTTTTCAAGATGCAGTGGTTTTGTACACGAGATTGCTCCTGATTCTGAAGAAACCTCTGTCTGTCAGTAGACCTTATTTTGCAACATACTATATGTGAAGGACACCCAACTTCGTCTTCCAGGCAGCAGAAACGTATCTTCAACCCTGTTTGTGTAGCAAGTGGGAAGTCTACTCTTGACTGCATTTCTAATGAGAACACTCCTGCTTGGCATACCGGCACCTAGTCTGTTTCTCAGACATACAATTCTATAATTCCCAAACAGCCCGATCATGCGGGCTGGAGGTATGATTCAACACGTCTGGAGAATACCAGATGGAAAGTAGCAACAGACCAGGAAGGCAGATGTCACACGCAGAATTTGAGGAAGAAGATCTGTTTTTCTTCCGTGAGGTTCATTGAAGTGGCCTAAAGCAACTTCCTAGTTTTGGTTTTTTTAGAATACATTACAGTTATGTAGCTTGTTCTTAGGTCTGCAAAAGGAAATTATATACTATGATGTTATATTATAATGTTATAATATTGAAAGTAATACTAAGAGAGCCAGTTTGATCTAGTAGTGGTTAAGACACCAGTCTAGAAAGGTGGAGACTGTGAGTTCTAGTTCCATCTTAGCCATGAAAGCCATCTGGGTAACTTTGGGCCAATCACCAGGAGACTGTGAGTTCTAGTTCCATCTTAGCCATGAAAGCCAGCTGGGTGACTTTGGGCCAATCACCAGGAGACTGTGAGTTCTAGTCCCACCTTAGCCATAAAAGCCAGCTGGGTGACTTTGGGCCAATCACCAGGAGACTGTGAGATCTAGTTCCATTTTAGCCATGAAAGCCAGCTGGGTGACTTTGGGCCGATCACCAGGAGACTGTGAGTTCTAGTTCCATCTTAGCCATGAAAGCCAGCTGGGTAACTTTGGGCCAATCACCAGGAGACTGTGAGTTCTAGTTCCATCTTAGCCATAAAAGCCAGCTGGGTGACTTTGGGCCAATCACCAGGAGCCTGTGAGTTCTAGTCCCACCTTCATCATGAAAACCCGCTGGGTGCTCTTGTGGCAATGACACTCTCTCATCTCAGCCCAATTCACCTCACAGTATTGTTGTTGTGGAGAAAATAAGAGGGAGGTTTATTGTATATATTTGCCACCTTGAGTTATTTGTAAAAATAATAAAGGAATGCAAATAGATAAATCAATAAAATACATGTTGTATTCTATGAAGTGTTGTTATCTACAATAACGATAGATAGTACTTGTATCTGTATTTATCAAGGACAGTTTGGTGTAACGGTCAAGGCGCCAGGCTAGAAATCAGGAGACGGTGAATTCTAGTCTTGCCTTAGGGATAAAACTCAGCTAAGGTGGCTTTGGGCCAGTCCCTCCCTCTTAGCCCGACCCACCTGACTATGTTATTGTTATGGGGAAATAGGAGGACTGTTAGGTCTTGAATTATTTATAAATATTATAAAGGCAGGGATAAAAATAAATAAAATCATGTGCAACGTGTGAAACAAAGTTAAATATTTTAGCTAAAATAAATAAGAGAAAGACAGGGAAAATCTAAGGAAAGCTTAGAAAGCTGTAAATTCCCAATGGTTGAATATTTGCTAAGGTCTTGTATTCAGTGAGCTGCATTCTCATTAGTAGTTAATCACTGATATGCAGTGTGAAAATATACGGTAGGTGCCGTTTGGCACTTTTTTTTCAGCCAATGTGCTTGAAACAATCCTTGCAATCTGGGGAGGGTCCTCTCCCCTTCCCTCTCCTTCCTTCCCCTCCCCTCCCCTTCCTTCCCCTCCCCTCTCCTTCCTTCCCCTCTCCTTCCTTCCCCTCCCCTCTCCTTCCTTCCCCTCTCCTTCCTTCCCCTCCCCTCTCCTTCCTTCCCCTCCCCTCTCTTTCCTTCCCCTCTCCTTCCTTCCCTTTCCTTTCCTTCCCCTCCCCTCTCCTTCCTTCCCCTCCCCTCCCTTCCCTTCCCCTCCTTCCTTTTCCTTCCCCTCCCCTCTCCTTCCTTCCTTCCCCTCTCCTCTCCTTCTTTCCCCTCCCCTTCTTCAACACAAGGATGGGGGTGCCAAGGTGTGAAAGGTGCTTACACTTCCATTCTAGGACCGGACAAAGTTCCTGCACCCTGAAGGCAGACCTGGGCTTGGCCTGTGGAAAATTTGCTCACTTTCTCTACTTTCTCGCTGGATTGTCCAGCTTTTGAGTCTTTAGTTCTGTGCCATCTGTTTGGGGAGCGTCAGAGGAGCAACCGCCCATGGTCCAAATCTTTGTGTGGCCTTATCGTTACAGGCAGGCTCGGAAGTCTTTGAACTCTGCTGGCAGAGCGAAAGAATAAGTCATGTTTCATGCACATCTGGAACGGAGCAACGCCAAACCTCTTCCGGTGGTCATTATAGGTAAGTACCTCTGGGAAGTAATCAGCAGATACAAGCACCGTTATCTTCCCAAGCCAGCCTACTCTTATCAGCCACAAGCTGCTGGAGCTCCAAGAATGATGATTAAAAAAGGAACATCTATTAATATTCTCTCTTTCTCTTTCTCTCTCTGTCTCTCTCTTTCTTTCTCTCCCTCTCCCTCTCCCCCCTCTCTTTCTTGCCCCTCTTTTTCAGTTTCCTTCCTTCCTTCCTTCCTTCCTTCCTTCCTTCCTTCCTTCCTTCCTTCCTTCCTTCCTTCCTCCCTCCCTCCCTCCCTCCCTCCCTCCCTCCCTTCTAATCCTAATAGCATGTAGACTTATATACCGCTTTACAGTGCTTTTACAGCCCTCTCTAAGCAGTTTACAGAGTCAGCCTATCACCCCCCCACAACAATCTGGGTCCTCATTTTACCCACCTCAGAAGGACGGAAGGCTGAGTCAACCTTGAGCCTGATGAGATTTGATCTGCCAAATTGCAGGCAGCCGGCAGGCAGCAGAAGTAGCCTGCAGTACTGCACTCTAACCACTGCACCACCGTGGCTGATGGTATAGAACAGGGGTGTCAAACTCAAGGCGTGGGGGCCAGATCCGACCGGCGGGGTACTTAGATCTGGCCCCCGGGGCCACCCTGGAAACAAAAGGACCGGCCCGATGCAGCCCTCCTGAGCTCTGTTTTCGCTGGCAGAGGCTTGCAGGAGGCCATTGCAGCCAAAAATGGAGCTCGGGAGCTCCGTTTTCGCTGGCAAAGCGCTCGCGCCACCACAGGCCACACCCACCCTGGCCACGCCCACCCCGGCCCCCAGAGGTCAAACACAACCCTGATGCGACCCTCAATGAAATTGAGTTTGACACCTCTGGTCTAGAATCTCCTGCTTGAGCAATGGGTTAGACTAGATGACTTCCCAGACCCCCTTCCAATAATAATAATAATAATAATAATAATAATAATAATAATAATAATAATAATAATAATAATAATAAATTTTTATTTCTATACCGCCCTTCTCCCGAAGGACTCAGGGCGGTGTACAGCCAATTTAAAAACACAAGACACAACAATGATTAAAAATTAAAATAATTAAATAGATTTGGCCGATTAAAACCCCCAAAAAAATTTAAAATACCCCAATTTAAAATTATTAAAATTATTATGTTGATAGCCCGGCCTAATATATAGAATATATTATTCTATATTCTGTATCTTTCTCCAGATACAGTTAAGTGCTAATGGAATTTTCCTACCTATAAATGTAAGCCTCAAAAGATTTCTGGAAGCTGCAGGATGTTCTGTTTAATTTAGACCCTTTGGGACGAGTGCTTCAGCAGAAAAAAGAAAAAAAAAAAGCTGGACTGTAACGAGAGCCGAGAAGGGTGGGGAAAATGGTGACTTCCAGCTGTTTTTACAACCTGGGGCCTGTGCCAGATACAACAGAATCCCTCCCGCTCCTGCTGTGTCATGCTGACCGGCTTCTTTGCCTGTTACGCAGCTCTAACGTTTCCTTTTAAGTCACAACGTTCCTGTTGCGAAGAGTGACAGATGGTTCTGTCCCAGCCGGTTAAAATATTAATATTAATCCGGCAAGAAAGCAGCTCTAAAAAACGAACGCCCCAGTTCTCTTATCTAAAATAATTAGATTTGCAAGTTTTCTCAGATACAGGTAGTCCCTGACTTACAACATTTCATTTAGTGACTGTTCGAAGTTACAATGGCACTGGAAAAAAAAGTGACTTACGACCAGGGGTGAAATTCAGCAGGTTCTGACAGGTTCTGCAGAACTGGTAGCAGAAATTTTGAGTAGTTTGGAGAACCAGCAAATACCGCCTCTGGCTGGCCCCAGAGTGGGGTGGGAATGGGGATTTTGCAGTATCCTTCTCCCAGGAGTGGGAAGGGAATGGAGATTTTGCAGTATCCTTCTCCCAGGAGTGGGAAGGGAATGGGGATTTTGCAGTATCCTTCCCCCAAGAGTGGGGTGGGAATGGGGATTTTGCAATAGCCTTCCCCCAGGAGTGAGGTGGGAAGGGAGATTTTGCAGCATCCTTCCTCCAGAAGTGGGGAGGGAATGGGGATTTTGCAGTATCCTTCCCCTGCCATGCCCACCAAGCCACACCCACCAAGCCATACCCACAGAACTAGTAGTAAAAAAATTTGGATTTTCACCACTGCTTACAACCGTTTTTCACCGTGGCGACATTTGCAGCAGCCCCCAGGATCACGTGATCAAAATTCAGAGGCTTGGCAACTGGCTCATATTTATGACGGTTGCAGTGTCCCTTTTTGCGACCTTCGGGCAAGCAATAGGGGAAGAGAGATTCACTTAACCACCAGGTTACTCACTTATCAACTGTAGGGATTCACTTAACAACTGTGCCAAGAAATGTCGTAAAATGGGGCAAAACTCAATTAACAAATGTCTCTCTTAACAACACAAATTTGGGACTCCTTGGTTGTCCTTGGTCGTATCTCAAGGACTGCCTGTATTTGCATGGGACGCTGAAATAATCATAAATATTTGCCAGTTTCCAAGGCTCCAAATTTTAATCACGGGACCACATGGAATGCTTGCAATGGTCATAAGTGTGAAAAATGGTCATAAGTCACTTTTTTCTGATTCCAAAATAAATCCGAGTTGTTCAGCTGGAATATCTTCGGGCAGGCTAAGCGTGCCACTTGAGCCTTGCCAGGCTCAAGGTTGACTCAGCCTTCCATCCTTTCTAAGGTAGGTAAAATTGAGGACCCAGTTTGTGGGGGCAATAAGCTGACTTTGTATAAATATACAAAAGAATGAAGGCTATTGCTTAACGCACTGTAAGCCACCCTGAGTCTCCGGAGAAGGGCGGCATATAAATCAAATTAAAAAAAAAAAATTAAAAAAAAATTGCCAGGACTTGCCATACAAAAGTCCTTTCTCTTGTTCCGGGCTCAGACAATCCTATGAACAGTAGTGGGTTTCAATTTAGTTTGCTACTGGTTTGCTCGTGCATGTGCTTGTGTGCGCACGCGATGCTTCTACGCATGTGCAGAAGCTTCTGTGCATGCACAGAAGTGTCCGGGCGGGTGGGCGGAGCTTCCAATCCGGGGCAAACCGGTAGCAACCCCCCACTGCCTGAATGAACCCACAATGAACCCAGCCCTTGTGGCGGAAGGCCTCCTACGTGTGAATTATGCCTCTTGTAGCTTTGTAGCAAGCCAAATTCGCTTTCTAAGCCCTTGGATTCAGCCAGCCACTGAATTTCACCTCTTGACCGACAACTTCAAAACAAACCCAGCAGACTTATTTTGACCGTTCTGCAAAAGGAAATGCGGGGAGCCACAAATAAAACCCAACGTTAAAACAGGCACCTATTTTTCCCAACAATGCAAAATCCAGATTTGCATCTGCTTGGCACACCTAATTGCAATTGAGTCACAATGATGTTCCTTTAATTCCAGAGGAGTTGGTTTGATACAAGATGACTGGAAAATAGGAAGAGGTAGAAAGGAAATGGGTAGAGATGAAATTTAGAAGAAATTAATATAACAAAAAACAGCACTGTCAGAGGTATAGAATATGGAATATTTTATTGTATGTTTGTATATATGTACATATAACACATATAATATATTTATATAGAATAATGGAAATTAGTCAATAGGTGAAGTTTATGTACTGTTATGTAAATTTGTTTCTCAATTGAGAGAAACTTGTATGTTTTTAAATGTTTTTTCTTTTTAACAATAAAGTTTAATTTTAAAAATTAAAAAAAAAAAGGAAAGCAGAACAATAAACAATGAGAAAAGTAAAAAAAAAAGATCACTGTTTGATCATTGCTACTCATTGCTTTCTACTATTTATTGATTGTTTTAATACTGAACTTGTTCCTGTTTGAAACTCAAGAAGAACTGTTTTATTGTGTAATGACAACAACTGGTAAGAAGACTTTGTACTTGGAATATCCCTGAATTGATATTTTAACTATCACCTTATCTGTGTATGACTTGGATTGTTGTTGGACTTGACTTTACTTTTTTCTAAAAGTAAAAGACTACCACAACTCCAAAAAAAAAAAAAAAAAAAAGGAAAATAGGAAGAGGAGGAAGGAGTATGGGGAACTTTGTTCTTCACCGCCTTGTGTTATTAATGAAAATAAGAAAGGCAGGAGGAAAATAAATAATATATCTGGGGCGCGTAACCTAACTTGAATCCACTTGATTTCTGTCTTTCAGGAAATGGTCCCTCGGGAATCTGTTTGTCCTATCTCTTGTCTGGCAACGTTCCCTATGTCAGAAGGAACTCCGTTCATCCTAATCCGATCTTGCAAAGGAAATTAGAAGAGACCCCTGAGGTTCCCATCGTAGATCAGGTCGGTATAGTCCAGATCTCTATGAGGTGGTTTTGCTAATCAAGTAGATTTAGCTGCAGAGAAACTCTTTGCTTTTGCAAAAACAAGGAGGTTATCCTTTAGTCCCAGGATTTCATTATGGGTGGCAAACTCCTAAAAAGGTAAAGGTAAAGGTTCCCCTCGCACATACGTGCTAGTCGTTCCTGACTCTAGGGGGCGGTGCTCATCACCGTTTCAAAGCTGAAGAGCCAGTGCTGTCCGAAGACGTCTCTGTGGTCATGTGGCCGGCACTAGCTCCCATTACTTGTCCCAGCTTCTGCCAACCTAGCAGTTCGAAAGCACATAAAAAATGCAAGTAGAAAAATAGGGACCACCTTTGGTGGGAAGGTAACAGCGTTCCGTGCGCCTTTGGCGTTGAGTCATGCCGGCCACATGACCACGGAGACGTCTTTGGACAGCGCTGGCTCTTCGGCTTTGAAACAGAGATGAGCACCGCCCCCTAGAGTTGGGAACGGCTAGCACATATATGCAAATGTAAATAATAGAAAATTAATAAAATTTATAGATAGATAGATAGATAGATAGATAGATAGATAGATAGATAGATAGATAGATAGACAGACTAGATAGATAGATAGATAGATAGATAGATAGATAGATAGATAAGGAGAGAGAGAGAGAGACAGACTAGATAGATAGAGAGAGAGACAGACAGACAGACAGACTAGATAGATAGATAGATAGATAGACAGACTAGATAGATAGATAGATAGATAGACAGACAGACTAGATAGATAGATAGAGAGAGAGAGACAGACAGACAGACTAGATAGACAGACAGACAGACAGATAGACAGACTAGATAGATAGATAGATAGATAGATAGATAGATAGATAGATAGACAGACTAGATAGAGAGAGAGAGAGACAGAGACAGAGAGACAGAGAGACAGACTAGATAGATAGACAGACAGACAGACAGACAGACAGACAGACAGACAGACAGATAGAAAGAAAGAAGAGCAGTTTGGTCTAATGGTGAAAAACCAGGCTAAAAAACAGAAGACCCCAAGTTCAAGTCTCACCTTAGTTATGGAAATTGGGTGGGTGACTTTAGGCCATCCCTCTCTCTCTCAGACCAACGCACCTCACAGAGTTGTTGTTGTGGGGGAAATAGGAGGGAGGAAACTGTGTCGGATACGTTTGTCATCTTGAGTTATTTGTAAAAATAATAAAGGTGGGATACAAATAAATAAAATTAACATTGGCTCTCAGGATGGAAGGTGTTTGATCTGACAATCCATGAGCTTCAATTTAAGGCTGTACTATGAATGAGAGACGGTTGGTTGTTTCAAAGCCTGTGCAACAGATTTGCCTCTTTGCAGTCCAAAATTTACGCTGAGCTTTAGAGTTTGCCATTCAATGTATTCTGAAGCGGGAAGGAAAGCTTATCGCCATTTACCATATTTTTCAGAGTATAAGACGCTCTGGACTATAAGACGCACCTACCTTTTTTTTGGTGAGGAAAACAAGAAAAAGAAATCTGCCTCTGCCTCCCAGCAATTTTGCAAACAGCAGCAAATAGCAGCAAACAGCCTGCTTCACTTTCATTTTCGTTTTCAGCATAGCTTGATTAGCACAAGAAAAAAAAATCCCAGCAATTTACCTCCTTGCAGCAAGCAGCAGAGCCCCGCGCAGCAATAGGCAATGGCAATCCCTGCAGCCTGAAACAGCTGAGAGTTGGGAATCAGCTTGTGCTAATTAGGTTGTGCTGAAGCTGAAATGGGCTGTTTCTTCTAACTGCTTGCTGCAAGGATGTAAATTGCTGGGAGGCAGAGGCCAAAGGTTGGGGGCCAGTGGGTGGGCGGGGCTACATTCGGTGTATAAGACGCACCCAAATTTTCACCCTCCTTTTAAGGGGGGAAAAAGGTGCGTCTTATACTCTGAAAAATATAGTAATCTGTCTAAATTAGAGCAGTGCCCCAGACTTAAAGTTTTCAGGAGCTGTGTTAGGAATCATCCATCAAGACGTCTGGTTTTTCCCTATAGGATCTGGAGTATCTCTCTGAAGGATTAGAGGGTCGATCTTCCAGTCCAGTGGCTCTCCTTTTCGACGCCCTTCTGCGTCCGGATACGGACTTTGGTGGGACAGCCAATTCAGTCCTCACTTGGTGGCATGAACCTGACCGAGCGATCCCTCATCTGGTTCTTGGCAAAACCCTCCCTGGAGGAGCTTGGCATGTAAGTGCAGCTCAAGATGTTAGCATTTATAAATAAAGGCTATAGTACATGGAACAATAGGATATTACAGTCAGAAGGGATCTTGGAGGAATTCTATTTAGTTCAACCCTCTGCCCACGGCAGGAGACTCTACACCAAGGGTGAAATGCTCCTGGTTCGGACCGGATCGCCTGATCCGGTAGCGATGGCAGCGGGTGGTTCGGAGAGCCGGTAGCAAAAATCCCTGTGCCCCCCTCCCCCATGCCCAGCTGAGCCGCACAATCATCAGAGGCTTTTTTTTTTACTTTTAAAAGCATTTTTTCTACAACCTCTTCCGATGAAAAAATGCTTTTAAAAGTTAAAAAAAAAGCCTCTGATGATCGCGCAGCTCAGCTGGGATCATCAGAGGCTTTTCAAAGCATTTTTTTCTGCAACCTCTTGGCCGAAGATGTGGTAAAAACAAATGCTTTGAAAAGTCTCTGACGATCCCAGCTGAGTTGCCTGATCGCCAGAGGCTTTTCAAAGCATTAAAAAAAATGCTTCGAAAAGTTAAAAAAAAAAAGTTGGCCACGCCCACCCAGTCACATCCCCCCCCCCCACCAAGAAGAGATTGGTTGTCCAATCTCTTCTTGAAAGCCTCCAGTGGTAAAGCACCCACAACTTCTGGAGGCAAATTGTTCCACTGGTCAAGTGTTCTCACTGTTAGGAAATGTCTCCTTACTTCTAAGTTGCTTTTGATTAGTTTCCACCCATCACTTCTTGTTCTGCCTTCAGGTGCTTTGGAGAATAATTTGACCCCCTCATCTTTGTGGCAGCCCCTCAAATACTGGAACACTGCTATCCTGTCTCCCCGAACTCTGATCTATTGGAAGGTTGCAGGAACTGGGTATGTCTAGTTTGATGAAAAGGAGGACTAGGGGGTGACATGATAGCAGTGTTCCAATATTTAAAAGGGCTGCCACGAAGAAGAGGGAGTCCAGCTATTCTCCAAAGCACCTGAAGGCAGGACAAGAAGCAACGGATGGAAACTAATCAAGGAGAGAAGCAACCTAGAACGAAGGAGAAAGTTCCCGACAATTAGAAAAAAATAATCAGTGGAATCAGTGGTGGGTTCCTCCCAGTTTGGTCCGGTTCGGCCAAGCCGGTAGCGGTGATGATATGATGTCACCAAACCGGTTCTCCCCCCCCTCCCGCCCTCCCACCCCCCCACGTTATTCTTACCTTTTATTTGGTCCCACCCCCAATCTATTGCTGCCTCCTGAGTCCCAGCTGATGACTAGAGGGAAAAAAACTGTTTAAACTCTTGCCGGGGGGCTCCAAAGGGCCGCCCTACAGCTGATCAGTGTTAAAAGCAAACAAATGAGTCGGGTCGTCAGTGCGAGGACCTTCCAGAAATGACTCTGACCAGCTAGCCACGCCCATCTAGTCACATGACCTCCAAGCCACACCCACAAAATAAGCCACGCCCACAGAACCGGTAGTAAAAAAATTTAGAACCCACCCCTGAGTGGAATGGGTTACGCCCAGAAGCTGTGGGTGCTGCCACACTGGAGATTTTTAACAAGAGATTGGACAACTATTTATCTGAAATGGTATACGATTTTCTGCCTGAGGAGGGGGTGGAACGAGAAGACCTCCAAAGTCCCTTCCAAATCTGTTATTCTGTTAAACTCAGCTTTGCTTTTAGCAGATTGAATGAGAAGTGGTGGTGGAAAAAAAAAGAGATTTATTTATTTTATTTTTTTGTGCACCAAGCTGATGTAAATCAAGCATAACCCAACTTTAGAGAACCAGTCTGGGCCAAACTCTAAAAGATGAATTAGAAATTGTAAACTGTTCGGAGTTGGAACCAGTGGAAGAATTCAGGTTTTTTTTTACTACCGGTTCTGTGGGCGGTGGCTTGGTGGGCGTGGTGTGGCTTGGTGGGCGTGGCTTGGTGGGTGTGGCAGGGGAAGGATACTGCAAAATCCCCATTCCTACCCTACTCCAGGGGAAGGATACTGCAAAATCTCCATTCCCACCCACTCCAAGGGGAAGGACACTGCAAAATCCCCATTCCCACCCCACTCCAGGGGGGAGGATACTGCAAAATCCCCATTCCAACCCCACTCCAGGGGGGGAAGGATACTGCAAAATCCCCATTCCCACCCCACTCCAGGGGGGAAGGATACTGCAAAATCCCCATTCCCACCCCACTCCAGGGGGAAGGATACTGCAAAATCCCCATTCCCACCCCCCTACAGGGGGAAGGATGCTGCAAAATCTCCATTCCCACCCCACTCGGGCCAGCCAGAGGTGGTATTTGCTGGTTCTTCGAACTACTTAAAATTTCCACTACTGGTTCTCCAAAACCTGCTGGATTTCACCCCTGGAACAGGGGTCTCCAACCAATCTGTCAGAACCTGCTGAATAGCATCCCTGGTTTGAACCCTGAAGAATAATTAAATACAAATTCAAAATGTTTCACGTTTTAATTCTGGTTTTAGTAAAAGAGTTTGGACTAGTCCCAACCCCTTTTAAAAGCTTTGCCAGTTTCCAATAGTTGAATGTCAAGTTCGAAACGAGCCTTTTGAACTTAAAATGGGCTCTTTTCAGAGTTCGAGCATTCCTGGAATGGTTGAAACAGTGCCAAAACGCTTCCAGTAAATTTGGGACATCTGCTGGAAGTTAGATAATACTGGGATGTTTTAGATTATGTATCTGCTGGACTTGCCATCTTGGTTTTTTTTTTCCTTCTTCTTCTTTTTGAATAGTTTCTCTCTTTTTTTGTTGCATTTTGTTTATTATATTATTGTTTTCTTGCTTGGTGTATCATAACCCACCAAATCAAATGAAAGATGAAATAAAACATTTCAAATAGTATAAAACAGCGTGTTTTGCGGTTGAAATATTTCACATACTTCTATCAAAGAACTGCTAAATACAGTTGGAATTTCAATTTGTCTACACTGTTCTTGTGTTAATACCAGGGGTGAAATGCTCCCAGTTCGGACCGGATCGCCCGATCTGGTAGCGATGCAGGCGGATGGTTAGGAGAACCGGTAGCAAAAATCCCTGTGCCCCCCCCCAGTACCCAGCTGAGCCACACGAATATCAGAGGCTTTTTTTCTTTTTACTTTTAAAAGCATTTTTTCTACAACCTCTTCTGATGAAAAAATGCTTTTAAAAGTAAAAAAAAAAAGCCTCTGATGATCATGCAGGTCAGCTGGGATCATCAAAGGCTTTTAAAAGAAAAAAACCCTTTTTTTTCTTTTAAATGCCTTTGACGATCCAAGCTGAGTTGCCTGATCGTCAGAGGCATTTAAAAGAAGAAAAGTCTCTGCCGATCAGGCAACTTAGCTGGGATCATCAGAGCCTTTTAAAAGCATTTTTTTACAACCTCTTCGCCGAAGAGGAGGTAGAAAAAATGGTTTTCAGACTTATATAGATCTATTTCTAGCTCGTTAGCCTTCATCAGTAAGCCACACCCACATCTCATGTATCCTCCCTGTAAAGGTATAGTATCTATTTTCTTACTTCTTCGTAGGATTTATGTGTGTTTTTCTTCTAGCCAGGTTTTTCCTACGTAACCAAGGTTTTTCTGCAGCCCTAGCTCAGTAGAATCACATCCACTTTTCTGGCTGGCTGCCAGAAAAGAAAAAAGCCCAGAATCGAGTGGATGTGATTCTACTGAGCGTGCAACCCCCCGTGGCCTGTTTGGGGCCTGGAAAGCCTTCCTGAAGCCTCCTGGGACCAAAACAGGCCATGGGGGCGCACCACTCCCCCCACGACCCTTTTGGTGTGGGTGGTGGCATGCCCCTGTGCTCCCGCCACCCCCGCACATGCGGGTGAGACCCCCTCCCGCCTCTGTGCATATCTCTCCCACATGCGCCTCGCACCAGAGATCTGAAAATCAGCTGGCTGGCGGGAGGCGCGCGCATGCCCGGTGGAGCTGAGCTGGGCGACGGCTCGCATGCCTGCAGAGAGGGCTCCACGTGCCACAGGTTCGCCATCAGGGCCCTATATCAATTCCTTCACTGCTTCCAGTTGTATTTCCAGAACTGGATTGATGTGTTAATTTTATTTTATTTTTTCTTTCTCTCTTTCTGCGTAGTCTATTGAAGGATCCATGTTCACCCTGAGCCAAGGAGATTGGATGGGGCTCCCTGATGTTCCATTCAAGGAATGGTTGAGCAAGAAAAAAAGGTAGGATTATTATTATTATTATTGGTTAATCTTTAGTGAGATTCACAGCCTTTGAGGCTGGTTAATAGCTCAGCAGCTCGAGTCCTAACCAAAGACCTAGGAACTGTTAAGGTATCGTCGGAGGATGTAAGCTGTTCCGAGTAAGGTGGTTTTTTGTAGAGTCAAAATGTTCAAATCCGGTAAATTTAGAATTTCTAAATAGCGGGGTAGCCCTTTGGGTATTGCTCCGAGGGCTCCAATTACAATCGGAACAACACACGATTTCTTTTTCCACAGTCGCTCGACTTCAATTTGCAAGTCCCGGTACTTTGTGGTGGTGATGATGATAATGATGATGATGATGATTAGTTTGATTTATATGCCGCCCTTCTCCAGAGACTCAGGGCGGCTTACAATGCGTTAAGCAATAGCCTTCATACTTTTGTATATACCTGCTTAGTAGGGCTTTTTGGGCCCCCCCAAGCGGTGTTCTATTTTATACAAAGTCAGCTTATTGCCCCCACAATCTGGGTCCTCATTTTACCTACCTCGAAAGGATGGAAGGCTGAGTCAACCTTGAGCCTGGTGAGAATTGAACTTGCAGTAATTGCAGGCAGCTGGCAGCTAAATACTACTTTAACAGCAGTTTAGTCCACTGCGCCACCAGGCTCTGGTGCAGCTTAGTCCACTGCACCACCAGGATAGCTTCCCTGCGGGAAACTCTTCATTAAACAGTAGCTTGGAACATGAAAGGTTAAGGGAACTGGATAGGTTTAGTCCAGTGATAGCTAACCATTTTGGTACCAAGTGCCAAAAGCGTGCGTGTGTGCACCCATCATGCAATGTGGGTGCCCTGCCCATGCCCTGACCCCATGCATGCACGCGTAACCCCTGGTTGCGTCCAACGCATGCGCACGCCCAAAACATGCGCGCGTGCACCCCCATGTGCTCCCCAAGCATGCACACGCAACCACGCATATGCACCCCGTCCCCCCGTGCATGCGCGGCAGAGACCTGAAAACCAGCTGGCCACCGGGAGGTGCGCGCACATGTACAGTGGAGCTGGGCTGGGATGACAGCTTGCATGCCTGCAGAGAGGGCGCTGTGTGCCACATTGGTTCACCATCACGGGTCTCGTCTGATGGCGAACCCATGACATGCATGCCGGAAGTGGCACACAGAGCCATCTCTCTGGGCACACGAGCCGTCGCCTGTTGCTCTTCCGAGTTCTGAAGTGCCAGCCAGCTGGTCTTCACATGCGCAGGAGTGCAGGAAACCAGAAGAGGAGCCGCCCGGTGTGCATGCATCTGATGGGAAGATAATCTTCCGGTTTCCGGCATGCGCATGCGCACCGGCCAGCTGGTTTTCGCAATCAGAAACTGGAAGACCAGGTGGCCAGTGCACATGCACGCGCCGGAAACCGGAAGATCATCTTCCCGTTGCATGCATGCGCACCAGGAGGCTGCTCTTCTGGTTTATGGCACACACGAGCGCACACCCCCCCCCCACATTTTAGCGCTCAGTGCTGAAAAGGTTCACCAACACTGGTCTATCTAATGAAGAGAAGGACTAAGGCAGGGATGAAATCCAGCAGGTTCTGACAGGTTCTGGCGAACTGGTAGCAGAAATTTTGAGTAGTTCGGAGAACCGGCAAATACCACTTCTAGCTGGCCCTAGGAGTGCAATATCCTTCCCCCAGGAGTGGGGTGGGAATGGAGATTTTGCAGTATCCTTCCCCTGCCACGCCCACCGAGCCACGGACACGAAGTCACTTACACAGAACCAGTAGTAAAAAAATTTGGAAATCACCACTGGGTTGTCTCCAATGTTCTACTTATGAGCAACCCACAGGCTACCCATACTTCTTATTAAAAGCTGGTTTACTTGTCTAGTATGGAAATGTCCCCTTATGTTTTCATCCAATTTGTTTCTAATCCATTCATAAAATGCTTTGAAATTGAGCTCACAACCCTAGCTTTGGGTTACGAATTACGAGTGGCTACGGGAGTGGTGTCCATCGATGATTAATCAATTCTGATCCATATTTTTGTTCTACAGAGGCTTCAGAAACAACAGGGCAACTGCTGGCGACATAGTCCAATACTATCAATATTACGTGGCCAAGAAAGGGCTGAAGAAGAACTTCGTCTCTGGAACTCTGGTGACATCGGTGAAGAAACTGAACGTGGATTCACAAGAGAGTTACGGCGGTCAAGGTTCCAAGGACAGCAGCTCCATGTGGGAAGAAAACAGGGACAGTGTCTTTCAAGTCGATGGGTTTGTCACCAACATCACTGGCACCCATCCCTTCTCCGTTTACGCCGAAAATGTGGTCTTGGCCACGGGGACCTATGATAGCCCAACCCAGCTTGGGATCCAAGGCGAGCATCTCCCTTTCATCCATCACACGCTGTCGGCTCTTGAAGAAGCCGTCAAGAACAAGGAGGTCGGGATCATGTCGGACCCAATCTTGATCGTAGGAGCTGGCTTAACGGCCGCCGACGCAATCCTCTTTGCCCACCATTGTAACATTCCTGTGATCCACGTTTTTCGCCGGCGAGTAAATGACCCGGCCCTCATCTTCAACCAGCTCCCCAAAACAATGTACCCAGAGTACCACAAAGTGCACCAGATGATGAGGGAGCAGGCCAACCCTTACCCAGGACCGTACGAACATTACGTCAGCCTTCCCGAGCATCACGTCGTCTGCTTTTTGGAGGACCGGAAGTGCATCTTCGCGGACAAGAGCGGCCGTCAAAAAATACACCCAATCTCCATGGCTTTTGTCCTCATCGGTTCCAACCCCAACCTTGCCTACTTGCCCAACAATGGCATGGACTTGGCCGTTGACTGCGAGCAGCCGATCAGTTCCAAGAGGAACCCAATAGACACAGATCTCTTCACGTATGAGTCCGTTCACGAGAAGGGACTCTACGCTTTAGGGCCATTAGCTGGGGACAACTTTGTGAGGTTTGTACAAGGCGGTGCGCTGGCCATCGCTAGCTCTCTGCTGAAGAAGAACAAAAATCCTCCTTAATGCCGGTGAATGTAACCTCTCCTCTGAAGGATGACTCTTGGCCAACTTTTTGAGAGTTGGCCATTGGGGTGTGTAGCTGTCTTTGCAGATATGAAGTCTCTCTCTGAAAGTCTTCAAATTGGGCTGGGCTAGGCCAAGTTTCCGGTCCAAGAAGATAACAGCAGAATCCTTGCAGAATGTTTGACTTCTTAATCCCTCTACCTCTGAAAGGTTCAGACGGGTTAGGAAAGCTTGACTAGATCTCGTGGTGGAAATCAGGTGTTGCCTCCATTAAATCTGAAGCAAGTTATCTCTCCGTGGGATAACCTGAAGATCTCCATCCACATATTCTGAATGGCAGTGAAAGCATTGTTTGCATCCAAAATAATACTTTTTGGTCATGTAATGTTGGGTGGTGGCTTTCCATTAAATCGTGCACCACATTTTGGGACTCTCAAAATGAATCAGAACAGATTTTCAGTAGATCCATGAATGTGCAGCAAAGAGTTGGAAGATCTCTAGTTCTCCCAGTATCAGGGTTTCAAGTAACATCCCCAACGAAAGAAAACTCTGAGGCTTGAGTTTCCTCAAAGTTCCATTTTATTAGAGATGTCATATCGGCACATCTGGGAAAACACGAATCTGAAAACCTCCAGATTTTCCCCACCCAAAGAAAAGTCCAAGCCCCTGCCCAACACCTACATGTCCATCACACGGTCCAATCAAAGCACCATCCCAACTGGAGATGCCTCCCAGTTCCATTCCTCCAGGTACAGGGCAAGATGTCCTTGACTCTCTGAGAAAGGAATGTTATTATGACTATATATATATATATATCACCCTGGCTCCATACAGTCCCCCCTCCCAGTTTCCCACAGTAGTAGTAAATGTGGCAGGCCTGAAGATCCAATGAAAAAGATGGTTTCCAGGCCTCACACCCAGGCCATCTAGAAGTGCCTTTCCATTATAAATGGTGAGTGGAAGGTAGATCTGCATCCAACTCAAAAGTCTGAGACAGATTCAAACCAGCTCTCCACATATGCAGAATTCTTCAGCCATCATGGTTCTTGCTGAGATCTGAAAGGTGCCAAGTTTGGGGGGGGGGTTAGTTTAAGACAGGGGTGTCAAACTTGCGGCCTGCGGGACGGATGCGTCACACGCTGGCCCTCCCCACCCCCATTTTAGCAAAGGGGGGAAAAGTCACGATACGTCAACTGGCGTCACGAGTTTGACACCCCTGGTCCAGGAGAATTTAAACTTGCATTAGCAAGCAGTCTGGGATTATGGTTGGACTAACCGTTGTGCGATTGTTACAATGAACAGTGGAAACCCAACTGACCACAGTTTCTTCCTCTTCTCGGAAGCGAAGTTCACACATGTAACCCTGCAAACGAATTTTGGATGCTGCCACTCAAAATCTCAGGATGTTCCTTTAATGTTTCCCTGGGCAGCGTTACTGAGAATGTTGGATTCTGTCTGTAAAGTTAAACGTGCTACTAATTTGTAAGCAAATTTTGTAAAATAAGAGGGGGTTTTCTTTTCTAAAACAAAAAAAAAATAGAGAACATATATTTTGTATATGGCTATTTTTAAATTAAAAAAAAAACACTGATTTCTACAGATTCATTCGTCTTCTATTTGCAAGCAAGCCACTGTCTCCTATGCGTTCTATTTTGAGGGAAAGGTATGTGGATTATTTATTGCTAATGTTAATTACTTGGCGGGACAACGAAGGAAGACAGCTGACAACTGTCAGCTCCCATGTGACTCCTCTCCTGCGCGAGCTGCATTGGCTTCCAGTGGACTTCCGGGTGCGCTTCAAGGTGTTGGTGACCACCTTTAAAGCGCTCCATGGCTTAGGGCCAGGGTACTTACGGGACCGCCTTCTGCCACCAATTGCCTCCCTCCGGCCGGTTCGCTCCCACAGAGAGGGCCTCCTCAGGGTGCCATCGGCCAGACAATGTCGGCTGGCGACTCCCAGGGGGAGAGCCTTCTCTGTGGTGGCACCTACCCTCTGGAACGATCTACCTCCAGAGATACGAGTGATCTCCGACCTCTGGACTTTTCATCGGGCCCTAAAAACTTACTTTTTTCAGCTAGTCGGGCTGGCCTGATTCCATGTTGGTTTTAACGTTTGATACTGATTTTAATTGATATGTTTTAAATTATGGGCCAAATTTCATTTAATTAGTTTTAATAATTATTTTAACTTTTGTGTACAAATGTTTTTATTTTGGCTGTTCACTGTCCGAAAGGAGAAGGGGGGTATACAAATTTAATAATAATAATAATAATAATAATAATAATAATAATAATAATAATAATAATAATAATAATACAAATTTAATAATAATAATAATAATAACAACAACAACAACAACTGTGTTTGATAATAGGGGCGGATCCCTTTGCAGGCTCCGTTCTGATACATTTAGGACAGTGATGGCTAACCTTTTTTCCATGGCGTGCCAAAAGCGGGGGGGAGAACCGATTCAGTGATGTCATATCGTCACCACTACCGGCTCAGGAGAACCGGGCTGAACCGGGAGGAACCCACCAATGGTGCATGCCCACACCTGTAATTCTATGCATCCCACCCCCGCGCATGTGTGCACAACCCCCTCACGCTTCCCTCGCTTTTGGCACACGATGGCCCGGTAGGCCTGGTAGGCCCGTTTTTCGCCCTCCCCAGGCTCCAGAGCCTTTCTACGAGCCTGGGGAGGGCAAAAATGGCCTTCACCACCCCTCCAGAGGCCCTCCAGAGGCCGGAAACAGCCTGTTTGCCGACTTCCAGTGGGCCCAGAAGGCCCGAAAATCAGCTGGCCAGCGTGCGCATGCTCAGCTCGTGTGCCCACTGATATGGCTCCGCGTGCCATCTGTGGCACACGTCCCATAGGTTCACCATCACGGATTTAGGACAACATAAAAAAAGTATCGGGGATGATGATTATTTTTTTAACAAGAAAAAATTTGCCCAATTTTCTTGATGGCATTTTTAGAGAACCCATTCATACACAGGTAGCTATCTTTAAATAATTTCTCCTAAATATGCTTTTGCATCTTTTGAACATGCCCGCTTGAACGGGGGAAGAGAAGCTGCAATGAGCTGGAAGGAAAAAAAAAAAAGAGCAAACTCACAACTCATCCAGTCTTGTTGACCCAAGAAATTCACTAAAAGCCTGGTCCGTATAACACGTTGAACTAATTAGTTGTGCTCATTGAGGGTGCGTCTGGTGTTCTCTGAGCTTGTTTTCTTGTAGACATTTCATCACCAAGCTAGGTAACATCATCAGAGCTACAGATACTCTCTTCTAATCTATGTTGCGATCGACTGAAATGCAGCTCTAGAATAATCAGCAAATTATCCTGTTGACTCAAAAGGAGAGAGAGGGTTTGGAAGCAAGACTTTTTCTACATTCCTCTTTTGGCTTCTGTTCTTTCTTATGGCCTGCTTCCTATAGTTGGTTATGGGAGCGGCGTGGCGCTCCCATGTGACCCCCCTCCTGCGCGAGCTGCACTGGCTCCCGGTGGTCTTCCGGGTGCGCTTCAAGGTTTTGGTTACCACCTTTAGAGCGCTCCATGGCATTGGACCGGGGTATTTACGAAACCGCCTTCTGCTACCAATAGCCTCTCACCGACCAGTACGCTCCCATAGAGAGGGGCTTCTCAGGGTGCCGTCGGCCAAACAGTGTCAACTGGCGGCCCCGAGGGGGAGAGCCTTCTCTGTGGGGGCACCTGCCATCTGGACGAGCTCCTCCCGGAGATACGGAGGATCCTGGACCTGCGCACGTTTCGTCGTGCTCTCAAAGCATTTTTATTTCAGCAGGCTGGCCTGGCCTAACTCCCTTTTAAATTTTTAAATCATTTAATCTGTTTTATAAATTGGGTGTTTTAAATTTGTTTTTGGCCAAAATATTTAATAATTTTAACGGACTTTTAATGCTTGTATTATCTGTATTTTATCTTGGCTGTTCACCGCCCTGAGTCCTCCGGGAGTACGGCGGTATAGAAATTAGATAGATAGATAGATAGATAGATAGATAGATAGATAGATAGATAGATAGATAGATAGATGATAGATAGATATAGAAAAGTTGGACACTTTCTTCCTTCTTTTTTCCCACCAAAAACTTTAGAGGTGCTGATTTGATATTGAGACAGGAATATTGGCTGGAGGAGCAAGAAAGGATGGGCATGAGCATGTGTTCTGTTATGCTGATGATGCAATGGGCATCAATGAGCTAGCAACATTAGCTACTACAAGCTTACGACTGGAGAATGCCAGTCCTTTATTTGTTCTTTTATAACTAACTCCCCCTTTACTCCCCTTTTACGACTCTCATCCTGTATCTAATTCGGGGTAGACTGGATGGAGCTGAATGTTTACTGGCCGGATGCAGGGGTGAAATGCTCCTGGTTCGGAGTAGCGATGGAGGCGGGTGATTCGGAGAACCGGTAGCAAAAATCCCTGCCCCTCCCCCCCTCATTGCCCAGCTGAGCCGCACAATCATCAGAGGCTTTTTTTAAATTTTTAAAAGCATTTTACCTACAACCACTTTGGCCGAAAAAATGTTTTTAAAAGTTAAAAAAAAAAGCCTCTGATGATCGCGCGGCTCAGCTGGGATCATCAGAGGCTTTTAAAAGCATTTTTTTTTTACAACCTCTTCGGCCGAAGAGGTTATAGAAAAAATGTTTTTAAAAGGAAAAAAAGCCTCAGGCAAGTCAGCTGGGATCGTCAGAGGCTTTAAAAGCATTTTTTTTTACAACCTCTTCAGCCGAAGAGGTTGTAGAAAAAATGGTTTTAAAAGAAAAAAAAAGTTGGCCACGCCCACTCAGTCATATTACCCACCACCACCAAGCCATGCCCACAGAACCGGTAGTAACAAATTTTACATTTCACCACTGGCCGGATGCCCTTCCTTATGCCACGTGGAGTTCACAGCAGATATTTTTTTTTCTTTGCTCCCGAGGAAAGAAATATCTGCCGCTTCCTAGGATTGAACTCTCAACCTTCTGAACGGGAGGCGATTAGCTAGGCCACCACTTCTTTTATAACGTAAGCCTCTATTTCTAGATTACTCTTTCTCAACCTTGGAGACTTTAAGGTGTCTGGACTTCAACTTTCAGAATTCCCCAGGTAGCTACTGGCTGGGGAATTGTGTGAGTTTGAAGTCCAGACACCTCAAAGTTGCTAAAGATGAGAAGCTCTTAATAGTGTTGATCTTAATGGTGTTGATGCTACTAGGTCACACTTACAATCGATGCTAAATTGAGTCCTCAGTGGATGATCCGGAGTATTACAAACAGTGGTGGGTTCCTCCTGGTTCAGCCCGGTTCCGCCGAGCCGATATCCGTGACGATATGATGTCACCGAACCGGTTCTGGCCCCCCACCCCCCCACATTATTCTTACCTTTTATTTGGCCCCACCCCCAATCTATTGCTGCCTCCTGAGTCCCAGCTGATGGGCTATAAGGAAAAACTGTTTAAACTCTTGCCGCGGGGCTTCAAAGGGCCGCCCTACAGCTGATCAGTGGTAAAAGGCAGTTTGGTGGTAGACTGGTGCCTGCAAAAATAAATGGTTAGACCAGTGCCTGCAAAAATACATGAGTAGACCAGTGCCTGCAAAAAGAAATGGGTAGACCGGTACAGCTCTGCAAGCAGTTAAAAGCCTGGTAGACCAGTACCTCTGCTAAATCCTAAAGAATTGTCACATGACCATCAAGCCACACCCACAAAATAAGCCACGCCCACAGAACCGGTAGTAAAAAAAATTAGAACCCACCCCTGATTACAAACAGTTAACTTCTCGTGTTAGCAAGTCCAGTCCCGTATAGTATGAAAACCATACTTTATGATACAATGCTATACGTGCCTCCGGCTGGAATGCAGCTTAAATATGAGTACAAATGCTTTCTCCAAATCCAAGCAAATTTCCATTAAAGAAGACAATGTCAGCCAAAGGTTCCAGATCAGTGCACACTGGGATTAAAAAATGACCCTCATCCACTTAATCAAACTTTCTGAATCCATGTAGCACGCAAACACGTCTTCTCTGTACCCCTTTCCCAGGGCCTGTTGCCTCCGCCTTCAATCTGGGAGATGCACAGAGGTCCCAGCGCTCTAAATGACTCTCATTGCACAATGCTGCACTGGTCTGAAGCAAGATCAGTAAGGTGATCCAAACCCTGGCTAAAAATAAATGCGTTGGCCAACTTTTGAATTCCTGGACCACCAGACAAAGCAGGGAGAAAGAACATGTAACATTTAAATAGGCACTTGGGGATCTGGTATATTTAGGGTGATGACGATTGCAAATTCCACTTCTGCAGTCTCAGCCAATGCTGCCAGTTTATTAGCTGTCACTTGTCCAGCCGGTTCCATCGTGAGGTATCATGTTGCTGAGCTAGGCGACCAGCGACAGGCTGCAAAAGCAATTTTTTTTATTTTTAAATTTTTTTTTATTTTGCAGAGGGGAAGCAAAGCTAGTTTCCTTCCTCTGTTCAAAGCATAAAGGTTCAGGGAATAGAATATAATTCTAGGCAATGGTGAAATTCAAAAATTTTCCCTACCGGTTCTGTGGGCGTGGCTTGGTGGGTGGGCATGGCTTGGT